GGAAACCGACCAAGCCTCGCCCGCGCCGTAAATAGACGACGGGACCCCCCAAGGTCAAGGGACGGTTCAGCGCCGGGGGACTAACAGACGAACCCCCGGACGGATCACTTGGACCCCCTTCCGGCCGAGGCAGGGAAGCAACCCCCTCGGCCGAAGCCTAGAAGAAGGAACACACATCAGGAGGAGTAACATACGACCTCCTGGCATAATCAAGGGACGGCCCAGCGCCGGGGGACTAACAGACGAACCCCCGGACGGATCACTTGGACCTCCTTTCGGCCGAGGCGGGGAATCAACCCCTCGGCCGAAGCCTAGAAGAAGGAACACACATCAAGAGGACTAACATACGACCTCCTGGCACAATCAAGGGACGGCCCAGCGCCGGGGGACTAACAGACGAACCCCCGGACGGATCACTTGGACCTCCTTTCGGCCGAGGCGGGGAATCAACCCCTCGGTCGATGCTTGAAAGAAGGAACATACACCCAGAGGACTCCTGGAACTATCAAGGAAAGGCCCCCGGCCTCAATTCGATTCCACGTCACCAATGGCCCTCGGCCTTGGCATGATTCCACATCACCAACGGCCCTCGGCCTCAGCGTGATCCCACATCACAACGGCTCTTGGCCTCAACATCAGATGACCCTCGGCCTCAACATCAACAACGTCCCTCGACCTCAGCATCAGAACGACCCTCGGCCTCAACATCAACAACGGCCCTCGACCTCAGCGTGAGGACATCACAATGGCCCTCGGCCTCAACATCAGACGGCCCTCGGCCTCAACATGACTCTATGTCATAACGGTTTTGGCCTTAGCGTGATCTCACATCACCAACGGCCCTCGGCCTCAGCGTGATCCCACATCACAACGGCCCTCCGCCTCAACATCAGGACGACCCTCGGCCTCAACATCACCAACGGCCCTCGGCCTCATCATGATTCCACATCACAATGGCCCTCGGCCTCAACATCAGACGGCCCTCGGCCTCAACATCAACAACGTCCCTCGACCTCAGCATCAGAACGGCCCTCGGCCTCAACATCAACAACGGCCCTCGGCCTCAGCGTGAGGACATCACAATGGCCCTCGGCCTCAACATCAGACGGCCCTCGGCCTCAACATGACTCTATGTCATAACAGTTTTGGCCTTAGCGTGATCTCACATCACCAACGGCCCTCGGCCTCAGCGTGATCCCACATCACAACGGCCCTCCGCCTCAACATCAGGACGACCCTCGGCCTCAACATCATCAACGGCCCTCGGCCTCAGCATGATTCCACATCACAATGGCCCTCGGCCTCAACATCAGACGGCCCTCGGCCTCAACATCAACAACGTCCCTCGACCTCAGCATCAGAACGGCCCTCGGCCTCAACATCAACAACGGCCCTCGGCCTCAGCGTGAGGACATCACAATGGCCCTCGGCCTCAACATCAGACGGCCCTCGGCCTCAACATGACTCTATGTCATAACGGTCTTGGCCTTAGCGTGATCTCACATCACCAATGGCCCTCGGCCTCAGCGTGATTCCACATCACAATGGCCCTCGGCCTTCATCCCTCCGACATCTTTATTTGATGTCAGGGGCTATCATACAGGCCCATCGGCCTTCATCCCCCCGACATCTTTATTTGATGTTGGGGGCAATCACACAGGTCCCTCGGCCTTCATCCCTCTGGCATCTTTATTTGATGCCAGAGGCTATCATACAGGCCCATCGGCCTTCATCCCTCCGACATCTTTATTTGATGTCGAGGGCCATCACACAGGCCATCGGCCTTCAGCCCTCCGCCATCTTTATTTGATGTCGGGAGCTATCATACAGGCCCCTCGGCCTTTCATCCCTCCGACATCTTTATTTGATGTCGGAGGCCATCATGAAGACCCCTCGGTCTCCATCCCCCTAGCATCTGTATTTGATGTCAGGGGCTCTAACACAAGCCCACCTGGCCTTGCACCCCTCCGTCACCTTTATTTGATAACGGGGGGGGGGGGGGGGGGGGGGGGGGTCCTTACAAGCTCCTTAGCCTTTTCATGCAGGATCTAAGGCTGATCTTGGATGTCCCCTCAGTAGACGGACACAACCGCCGCTCAACAATCAAGGCCGAAGGGTACACTCCTTTTGCTTCATTCTGAGGGCATCCGGTGTACTCTTTTTCCCTCATTAGGATTTTTTCCCACAGGGTTTTTTCCTAATGAGGTTTGTAACGAGGCATCTCCCCATTGTGGAGCAAAAGGCGTCACCCCTCGGCGGCTCCTGCTGAAGGCATGCATCACTCTACTCCTGTTTCCCTCGAGAAACTCTCGGCAAAAGGAGTGGGGGACTGGGGGACTCCCCTCGGCAAAACACGCAAATGTTAAAAAATTTCTATTTCTCAGCTACAGCAGGCTGAGGCAAGATCACAATGGCAATCTACTCCCCTCGACATGATGCTTTCGGCTTACAGAATGCCTCCGGCCACACAATGCCTTCGGCCACATGATGCCTCCGGCCACACAATGCCTTCGGCCACATGATGCCTTCGGCCACATGATGCCTCCGGCCACATGATGCCTTCGGCCACATGATGCCTTCGGCCACATGATGCCTTCGGCCACATGATGCCTTCGGCCACATGATGCCTTCAGCCACACAAAGCCTTCAGTCAACAAATGCCCTCGGCAAAGCACACAAATGCAGATCTCTCATTACTGTACAAACTACAACAAAGAAACACATACGAGCAACACACTTACACTCCCTTCAGGAAGCTCTCAGCCCTCGACATATGGGGGAATTGAGAAAATGAGGCACCCAACAGGACAAGGAAGCCTTCGGGGAAATCACCACAGCTACTCCTTTTCCCTCAAGTACCTTTCGGCAAAAGGAGTGGGGGACTCCTGATGGAGTATATGGCCCAGGGACCCCCGGCCCACATACTTCCTCTACTACAATCAGGCCCAACAGGCCCAAACGGGCCAAGCCCAGCAAAATGGAGCTCTGAGCAGCCCACAATACGCAAAGGGGTGCCTTCGGCCCTATGGCCGAAGGCTACCAGTGACGGAATCGAGCTGAGAAACATCACAGGAGAACAAGGCTTGAAAACCAAGCCTTCGGCAACTGCAGCCTTCGGCAGGTAGGAGCCCTCGGTTAGAAGAGGCATCACAGGAGAACAAGGCTTGAAAACCAAGCCTTCGGCACCTGTAGCCCTCGGCAGGTAGGAGCCCTCGGTTAGAAGAGGCATCACAGGAGAACAAGGCTTGAAAACCAAGCCTTCGACACCTGCAGCCCTCGGCAGGTAGGAGCCCTCGGTTAGAAGAGCCTTCGGCCCAACACCCTTCAGCCGAAGGCATCCACCTCGACAGAATATCCTCTTCACATGCGCCTTGATCACCGTACCAAGTACAAACGTCACATCCAACCACCACATTTAATGCGGCCACATGCGAGTGCCAGTGCCACCCCGGTCGAGGTGACCCCTCGACCACCAGAAAACTGACACGTGTCCTTATCTAGCATTTATTACTACTATAAATAGCACCCCTTTCCCCCATTGTAAACCACGCTTAATACATATCGAATATACACTCTCTCTCTTACTTGTTTGCTCTGACTTCTCTCTAGTTATTCTCCGCAATAACCCCTCGGATAAGCTACCCCCGAGTACACTATCCATCAGAAACCGTAGCATTTGAAACGGGTACGAGACCGGTCCTAGATTTTGAGAACCGAAAAATACCGGACCGAACCGTTCGTAAATAATGCATTTGAATTTTTTATATTTTTTCTATATCAATAGATCTAGACCAACAATTTTATACTCCAAGTATGTATTCATGTGTCCCTAAGATATCTAAAATGTGTTGTTTATATATATATATATAGGGAGCGAATCAGCTGAGAAGTGCCCTTAGACTGAGAAGCTGAGAAGTCTAACTTATAAGCAAAAAACACGAACTTTTAACCAAAAAATCATAACTTATAGACCCCCTCAAAAACACGAACTTTCTGTAAAAAAAAATTCCAGGTTTCTGGAGTTATTTTGACGCGGTGGCATTTTCGTAATTTTTTTGGAGGGGGTCTATAAGTTGTGATTTATTGGTTAAAAGTTTGTGTTTTGAGCTTAGAAGTTAGACTTCTCAGCCTAAGGGTGACTTCTCACATGATCTTCTCTCTCTCTCTCTCTCTCTCTCTCTATATATATATATATATATATATATTGCTAGTTTTTCTTTTTAGATAATTTATGTTATATTTTGGTATGTATTGAAAGAATATTAAAATTTTAGAAATCATTGATGATTATTTATTTCTAGTGATGTAGTGTACATAACTTTTTGTTGTATCATGTTTGTGCATTTTTTACAACTTAATTAATATGGTTTAAATCTTAGCTCTCAAGATTCAACTATAAATTAAATTAGAACTACGGAGTAATATTTAACCTAGAATGAAGAAGAAGAACGTTGAAGATTTCTATTATATTCAACAATTTGATGATATTCTTTTTTATATTTTCACATGAACTTAGTAAATTAAAAATGATATTTATCTCGTGCATCATCGTTTTGCTATACTTTTTCTTAGTTGTGTTGCACTATTTTTGTATTTGTGAATTTTAGTACTAGGTATGCAATTTCTTGTATTTATTTCAACGTGAGTTGATTGGTGTGATGATATCTACATACTAATTACAAGATTTGTTCAAAAATTTTAGCATGTGTTTGTCATTGTACCGTACTGTTTTGTACCGTTCCGAAACGACATGGTACCGAACGGTTCTATCCTTGGAATCGAACCGTACCGGACCATTAAAAATCTCACGGATACATTACAGATTTTACCAATTTACCGGAACGTTCCGGACCGTATCCACCCCTAGGTTCAATAATGAGGGTAGCCAGTCTCACCTACGAAGAACAAATGCGCTCGGCTCCACACTTGACACTTCTTATCATCCATCGTTTGCATATTATATACCCCACCCCAAGCCCCCTTACATTTTCTGTAGATAAATCAATTCACAAAACACCTCGCCAACTTTGTAGCCCAGCCATTGTTATAAATATTACTCCCCATCTTTTTAGCCTTGCTCGCAAATCAATATTTACTCCCAAACCCATCAACTATAACTAAGCTTATAAGTAATAGCCTAAGTTTCTTCAGTTATATTCCAATGGAGTTTCTTGTTGGCAAATCCATTCTCATCACTGGCGCAACTGGCTTCCTCGCCAAAGGTTAAGTTCGCTCCGATCCTCTTTTTCTTGCTTCTGCTCCTATCCATATTCGTTCGATAATGATCGGTATACATAGTGGCCGAGCCAGAAATGTATTGGTAGATATGGCCATATGGGGGCCGAGTTTAAACTTTTATATTGGGGGTTCAAATCTTAAAATTTCTATCTTTTACCGATTATTATACTCCGTAAATATTTTTACATACGAAATTTTATCAATAAAAGATTTGAAAGATAGATGAATTATCAATTTAGGAACTAAAAGATGAAAAGTATCGATATAGGACCTGCACGACGGAAAACTACCAGTTTAGGACCTAAATAATTGAAAATTATCAATCTAAGACCTAAGTTGTTATGAATTTTACGGAGTATTATTTTTTTCATTTTTAAAATTTTAAAAATTATTTAATATTATTAAACTAATAAATATTTGCGAAGAAAAGTTTATAAAAACTTAACAATGTAATTAATAAAATATTAAATGAATCAAAGACTATGAAACGTATAAATGTAGTGTTTTCCCAAAGTAGGGTAGTTCCAAAATTTATTTCCCAAAGTATGTCACTTTAAAACTTATTTCCCAAACTAGGATATTTTTTTGCCACATTATCCAACCTGCCACGTCACAAATGCCACATAATTGCTAGTCATTCCATGTCATCAATTGTGTGTGTATAAATGTAGTGTTTTCCCAAAGTAGGGTAGTTCCAAAACTTATTTCCCAAACTAGGATATTTTTTTGCCACATTATCCAACCTGCCACGTCACAAATGCCACATAATTGCTAGTCATTCCATGTCATCAATTGTGTGTGTTTTACTTAATAAAAAATATGTCACTAGTTGGAGTAGAACCCACAACCTCTCGCAACTTCATAGTAGTGCAAGAACCATTAGGCTACACTGATCATTTGGTATAAGCTCGTATTTAAATAACTTTAACATATAAGATTATATATATTTTAAGTTCTGAGATTTACTTTTTTAACTCGTGCATTACTCGTTCCTTTAGAATATTTTACTTCTTTCTCAAATAATTAAAAAATTTGAGAAAATTTTAATTTGAGTTATTCAATTAAAAATTAAAAACACAATTAAAGATATTTAAATGAGAACTTAAATCAAATGAGCATTGTAGCCTAATGGTTCTTGCACTACTATGAAGTTGCAAGAGGTTGTGGCTTCAACTCCCACTAGTGACCTATTTTTTAATTAAGTAACACACACACAAATTGATGACATGGAATGACTAGCAATTATGTGGTATACGTGACGTGGCAGGTTGGATGACATGGCAAAAATATATCCTAGTTTGGGGAATAAATTTCAAAGTACCCTACTTTAGGAGATAAGTTTTGGAACTACCCTACTTTGGGGAAAAACTCTATAAATGTACATTCGATTTTTTTCTACTTTAGTTTTGACCAAGTATACATTACTTTTGAATTAGTACCAATCCAAAATTAAATTGCTACTCGCCTTTGTTAATAAAATAATTGTAACGATCCTTTTTTTAAATTAGATTAAATGTGTGAAATATAATCCGTTAGCTTATACTGAGTACTTTAATTTTGTGTCAATATATAATTGCAGTGCTTGTGGAGAAGATACTTCGGACTCAACCAGATATAAAAAAACTCTACCTTCTCATCAGAGCCAATGATTCTGTATCTGCAATAGAGAGATTCAAAACTGAGGTATATATATGTGTAAATGAACCATTAATTACTTCATACTAGTAGTTCATATATACTAGTATTGTATTTTCTTCCGATACCTTTATTTATTCTTATAAGTTTACTTAAATATTGCCCATCTAGAACGTGCTTATTTAATTGAATTGGTCCAAGTGAAATATTTTCGTCCAATACCTTTATATCTCTCATGGCTTCCCTCAGAAAAGTGCAAGTGCTATGAATAAAAGTATATGTCTTTTAGTCACAACTACGTAGCAATTACAATGCATGCATGAAGGAAAATGACGTACTCTATCGATTCTAAATTACAAATCTACCTTACATGTCTCCCTATTTTGAAGGTCACGTTTGCATATCCATTTTAGCTCATTTGTAAATTGAAATCAATCTAGACAATTATTTCACCCCTTTGACGGACTCAGAAATTTTGTCTAGGGGTGCTCCGCATGAATGATAATGGGTAGGTTTTGGCACTCTTATTTTATAATTTTTTTAGCGATCGGAGGTGATGGTGATGGGAGGTGGTAGATGCGGCACGGTGGTAAAGGCATCATTTTTTTTAATATGCTTATGCTTTTTCACTATTTTCGTTTTTCATATTTTTATTTTATAAATAGTTTATTAACTTTTTATTATTTTCTTACGCATTTTATTATTTTTTACAATTTTATTATGAATTAAAATATTTTATAATGAACTAATACCCTAAGGGGTATTAAGGGTAGAAAATTAATGTTTAGTCCTATTTGTGAATGATTTAGGTTTGGCTAAAGGGTCAAATAGGTACATGAACTAACTTAAAATGTTCAATTAGCCCCTTATTTAGGAGGTTCTGTCGAGTCGTCGCCAATTGGGGCGGTTCCCGATGTAATTTTTTGATGAAATTTTTTGAGCATCTTCTTCATTAAGTCTAGATTACCCATATCAAATTTGAGAAAAAAATTAAACCGGTAAGGCAGTCAAATAATTGACATGAATGTAGTGATGATGTCGTGCCAAATAGCTGGTGCCGAAATGTTTTTGGCACGAATTTAGCATTTCCCTGCCAAATCTTTCATGATTTTTTTCCAAATTCTTGCCAAAATCCCTGCCAATTCTGTGTTTTTTTGTAGTGTACTGAGCATCTCAACATTCTTACTTGATATTGCCATTTCATATTTTCTATAGATAGTTCAATCCGTTCACGCCACTCAGCTCATCATTAAATTTGTTGAAACTTTCAAAATATGTAAGGCAATGATAACAAAGACTTACTTTTTTCAGGTTATAGACAGTGAATTATTCAGAGTTGTGAAAGAAAAGTATGGTGATAAGTTTAAGGCCCTTGTGGAGGAGAAGGTTTTCCCTGTGGCGGGCGATATTTCATTCAAGGAATTGGGAATTCAAAATGATGAGCAACTGTCGGGAGAATTAGACATTATTATTAATTCTGCTGCAACCACTATATTTGATGAAAGGTGATTTGACCAAACAACTTCAAATTAAATTAGTACAAACTAAACTTCCATAATTATAAAATATACCTAGAACATATATCTAACACACCAGACCAAATCAATTATGACTAGAGCAGGTCCGATCAGGCGATTAGTCTTAAATAAACTCGATCAAATCAGATTAGACAAGCCAGATTAGACAATAAAATTATAAACCAATTAAAAATATTCTATAATAGTGAAAGGTCCCGCCTACATAATAGGATTGAGTCCGAAAAACCGAAAACCGAATCAAAATAAAAGGAACCGCAACCAAATAAAACTGATCGCGCGAACCGCTAATTAATCGAAACCGAATGTAAAAACCGAACCCCGAATCATAGTTGTTTGGTTCGGTTTTGGTTTTTACCCTTCCAAACCGAACCGAACCAAATAAACTGAACTAATTAAAGTGTGAAATGTTATTTGTTAATTGTTAAGCATTGATCCTACTTAATGATAATGTCATCAACAGTCTTTGATTTTTTGTTCTAGAAAGTTAATTTTTGTGTAATGTTTAGTTTAGTTTATAAATGCATTTACGTATTCATTAAGTATACTAATGTAGCTATATTGATATATTATGTCTTTTTTGTATGTATGTTGTAATTTGTTGCATGATAAAGTATTTTTACTAGTTGTTACTTATTATTAGTAGTTAACTTTTACTTTTATGGAATTCAATGTTTTTATATTGATAAAACAAATAAATACGAGTATTCATCTCAGCTACTCCTAGTCACCAACAATGTAAATAAAAAATATAAACATTTTTATGTCTCCACATGCTCATATAATTCAAGACACATTTATTCTTTTTTTTCTAATTTTATTTGTTCTAGTATGCTTGCATTTTTTATGTAATATGTTTGATCCAGGGGTGGAGTCAAAGCACTGGGCCGGACTGAGCCGGTACAAAGATTTTTTGGGGGAAAAAACTACACGAAATCTTTTACACTAAAAATACAGATATTTTTTATATTTGGGCTGGGCCAGGGCCAGGGTTGGCCACTCTCCAGCTACGCCCATGGTTTGATCCCTCCAACTATCGTATCATTTTAAATCAAGTGACATTTTTTAGTAAAAGATCAAAAAAGCTGAAACCAAACCTAATCAAACCGAACCATTCATGTTTTGAAATGTAAATCCGAGCTGAAATCGAACCGAACTTTCCACTTTGGTTCCGTTTTTAGGTTTTCGTCAGATCCAAATAGAATAAACCAAATCCACCCCTACTCCATAGCAACTACATACGGAGTCGTATAGAGTATTAAGATAAAATGGTATTAACCTGTTACCCGTTCCAAACTTCCAATATTTGTTCCCTTGCATATTGCATACGATGGAGTATATATATAAATAGATCAACATTAAGTACTATATATGGTGAAATGAGAATGAATTTAGATCATTCTATTTGATGATGTTACAGCAAAAAGAGTTTTATATTGTACTAAATAACTCAATCATGTATTCATGTGTGACGACATTTTTGTAAATATTTTCTGAAAAATTTCGTCCTTCATCTTTTAGCGTAACACGAAATTGTTTTAGTGCAATATCATCGAATTCAATAATCGAGATTTTCTTTTATATATGTTTTTTCATGATAAAATATTAGTATTATGATTTTCATTAGTCCCATAAAAGGGAGAAAAGTAAAGCCTAATACATACATGAAAAATAACAATATATACATATATATTGTGAGTCTTCTACTGTATTTAATTTATACTTAGTCCTATAGTATTTTTAACTTTTTTGTTAATTATAATTTTTCTAGAACAAACAATAGAAGGAGAAAAGCCTAAATTAGAGTACAGGTAGAGCTGATCGATGTTTTAATTGTCAATTTAATTTTAGACTTAAATTAATATTATTTACAAAAATGTGATCATATAGTCTGTCGATAATAGTGGCAAGTCATAGTAGTTCATTTTTAATTTTTACATTTAGATGGTCATATAATATACTCATAATACAAACTATCTTTAGTCACACTTTGTATACAAATTTTATTCCAGGAATACTTTTGAAAACCCTCTAATTCACAAATTAAACATGTGGCCCCTCCATTGAGAGTTTGATACATTTTTTTGTTGTGATACCTATATTGCTACTTTTGTTACAAGGCTTTATTATATTTGATACTTGAAGTATAGTTTAATTACAAAATCTCTTAAAAATAGAAATGATTCATGACAGAGCTCATTACAAGCTGTAAAATATCCACCATTCTTAGCTTCAATTCTCCTAAGCTCATATATAAAGATTAGATGTATCCATCCACCAATCCACCCTGGCCACCAGCCCTCCTCACAGATCTATTCCTATAAGTCCCTTTATTAGATATTCAAAATTTTGTTTGACTTGGATCATTTACAGAAATATATAATTAATTGATGTTACAACCAACCACCGAGAGATAAAATGGGAGAAAGTTTTACGAAGTATTTTGTTTGTAAATGGAGAAGAAAAGCTCCAGAGAAGGAACATAATTATACTATTGTAATTTATAATACGGAGTACTTAGTGGCTAGGCCTTTACAACTTTGCCACCTTTTTATTATTCTAAAATAAAAGTTAGCTACTATATTCTTAAATATGTGATGGATTTAGCTCTCTTCTATACAAATTTTAACCTCATAAATTAAATTTACTAGTTTATTCTATTGAAGAACAAGATTTACATTCTTCTCTAACAATTTCTTGATTTGACTTTCCATATTTTTTTAATAAAAAACAAATTGCTTTCTAATATTTCTATTTGAAAGAGTGTAACATTATTTATAAAGCAGTCATATACATAATAAAAAGAAAGAAGAAACAATGAATGAGAAAAATAAAAAATGAATATAAAAACGTGAGTAATACATTATGAATAGTCATATAATTGTTCTTATTCATTTGTATAATTGTAGGTATGATGTTGCAATGAGTATTAATACAATGGGCGCAGCAAATGTTTTAAGCTTTGCCAAGAAATGCCACAATCTTAAGATGATTGTTCATGTATCTACCGGTAAGTTTGAATATGTACTTAATTTCATGCTTAATCACATACATACCATCCAGTTTTTTGGTCAATTGCATACGTGGCTTTCCGGGTGGCTTTTTTTAATGTTTCGTAAACTCTATCTTACACCCTCTACCAGTCTACCTCACCGACCCTTCATACTTCTCCCATTCTCCGATTGACTTTAATTATATATGCGTGCAGTTTGTATGTATATAGAATACTCCACCGCTTTAAATTTGGGGGAGATAGTGAGATGGCCGTAGCTGTATTTGTGGGAGAAGATCGCGGCTGTAATTTGGGGAGATGGCCGCAATTATAACTGGGGAAGTGGCAGCTGCTCTAGAGGAGATGTCGGTGGCATACAAGTAGTTTAGGAGAATAAGGTCAAACAATAAGATAAGGCCCATTAAGAAGTCGTGGTTTACTTCACTGTTACAAGGCGTAAGGTCGTTCGTTAGTATTTACAAGGCGTGAGACCGTTCGTACAGATGCTGTGTTATGAGATAATAAGAATGCTATAATACTAGAGTGTTAAGTTGTCATTTTTTACAATGAAATAAATGCTTCTATTTATACTGTCCGATGGTGGTTGAGCATGCTGATGTGATGGGCTGTGGTTGGCTTGGATCCCAACCAACAAATCTCTTCATTAAATGGCTTCCCAACCACCATATCTTTGCATTAAATGCGCTTCCCATCAGAATCTTGGTTTCCCGCCAAGTGGCGGAGATGAGCGTCTCTACAATCTTGTCTCTTGTGTCCTGCCAGCTCCCAAAGCCAAGGTTCCGTACGTACGTCTTGCAATTGGGCCTTGCTGACCTGTTGGGGACGTACGTCTCCTGAAGTAGGCGGAAAGCATCTCCAGTTGCTCCCAAGTCCTTGGACACGTTCGTATTGCCCTTAGCCGACGCTCTTGACGTGACAATGGCTTTCTTGGCATGGTTACCTGCCAATGGGTGGCGACGGTTGATCGTCCCCAGTCATTGTCTGGTGTCCCGTGGTGCCTTCCAAGTTGCTGAGCCACTCTGTGTCTTCTGACGTACGTCTCCTGATGCGTTGTTTACCCGCTTAGATGCCCCATGAGAGGAGGCCGTACGTCGTCATGGAGTTAATGGGCCGGTCCTATTTGGGCCATTTACCCAACACCACCTAAGCGAGTAACCGAGAAAGCATATTGATTACCAGGTAAAGGATTCAATTACACATTTCTTATAAGTTTGAGGGTCTAATTGATTCATTTTAAAGTATAAGGACTTAATTGACTTTTAATTTCATTATAGTACGGGGATTTATTTGACAATTTTCCCTTGTTTTAAAGTTATCTGATGTGGGACAATAACACCATTCTCACGATTAGACACTTCGTCTGGATCGTGTTGTCATTCATTTTTTCATCGGTTTGTCATTGTCAATTTTTTATAATTGTGTCACCATTTTTAATAGGGGGGCTCATCGATTTGGCTTTGTTACCCTATTAAGATATGAGGTTCCATGCCAAAAGATCAAATCATAAGCTACAATGCTCATTTGGTATAAGTTCTCATTTAAATATCTTTAACATATAGGACAATGTTATATTTTAATTTCTGAGATGTACTTATTTAACTCGTGGATTACTCGTTCCTTTAGGATATATTACTTCTTTCTCTAATAATTAAAGAATTTGTGAAAATTTTAATTTAAGATATTCAATTAAAAAATAAACATTAAAAATTATGATAAAAAATTAATATGATATATCTAATTTAAAAAACAATTGTATTTTATATGTTTGAGTTCATATAAGATGCTCGAAATCGAGCTAAGAAAATAATGAGAAATTGAAAAATAATTAATTAAATAAAATAAATAAATGGATATATAAATAAATATAAAAAATCATAAATTAATAAACATATTAATGAATTTACAGATAAATTTTTATATTTATTTATCTATTTATTTATTGTAAATAAATTAAAAACAAGTGAATAAATAAATAAAATAATAGATGAATTAAATAAATAATTTTATTGATTTCTTAATTCATCAATACTTTTATTTTTTCACTTATTTATTTATTTATTTATTTATTTATTTATTTATTTATTTATTTATTTATTTATTTATTTATTTATTTATTTACTTATTTATTTATTTATTTTTTATTTATTTATTTATTTATTTATTTATTCATTTATTTATTTATTTATTTATTTATTTATTTATTTATTTATTTATTTATTTATTTATTTATTTATTTATTTATTTATTTATATGTTTCAATTTTCATTATTTTTTTAGCTCGATATTGAGCATCTTATTTGAACTCGAACATATAAAATACAATTTTTTTATACTTACATATATGCAATTACGTTTTTATCATAATTTTTAATTGGATTTTTATTTTTTAATTGAATAACTCAAATTAAAATTTTCATAAATTCTTTAATTATTTGAGAAAGATGTAAAATATTCTAAAGGAACGAGTAATGTACGAGTTAAAAAAGTAAATTTAAGAACTTATAATTTATATAATCCTTTATGTTAAAGCTATTTAAATGTGAGCTTATACCAAATGATCATTGTAGCCTAGTTGTTCTTGCACTACGATGAAGTACATGAGAGGTTGTGGGCTTCAAGTCCACTGGTGATATATTTTTTTATTAAGTAAAACACCCACAAATTGATGACATAGAATGACTAGCAATTATGTGGCATCCGTGACGTGACATGTTGGATGACGTGGCAAAAAAATACTCTAGTTTGGGAAATAAGTTTAAAAGTACCCTACTTTGGGAAATAAGTTTTGAAACTACCCCAGTTTTGGAAAAAACTCCCATGTACGGAGTATTTACGTAATTATCAAGGCAAAAAGTGAAGGCAATAAATTTAAAGTAAAAAACAAGCAATACAACAGCTACAAACTTGTACACCTTACATGAAAATTATCAAAACGGCGGACTATACACAATTAATGGGGTTTTGGTTTTAAAAACACCTTAATGTCTAAATTGAGCTTGAAATATACTCTGTAACTGATAAAAGGTTAGTGTCTAATTTGGTCCTTTTACCTAATCTAACCATAAACAAATTCTATCTCAAACCAACTCTGCCAAAATTACATATGGGAGGCATACTTGTGTAGTTCTGCTATAGATATTTTTAGACTTCAAATAAAAATACAAAAAAAAAAATACATAGTTGTCTTACTTTGCTCCGAGTGAAGCTCTCAAAAGACCTGGAAAGTAGCTGAACAACAAAGTAAATTAATACAAACACAGAGACATAATGTACGCATTGCAACTGACAAGATGATTATGATATCATAACCTTAAATCAGCTCCGCATTCAACAACAGAAAGACATCTATATTGGTTTCAGTAGACAACATCTATTAATAGATAATTGTTCAGAAAATAGATACTTCAAATCTTGGGCACAAACCTGTGTAGATATAACGTGTGGAAAAAGAAAGAAGAAATTTGCACAAAGGGAGAACAAACAATTTTGTATTTAAACTCAGAAGTCAATTTACTGTCCCGATTGGTAAGGGTTGTTCGACTGAAATGTCTGAATGTGCTAAATGTTCAAACGGTTCACTCATATTCATGTTGTCAAATTTAACTTGCTTAGTTAAGACATGATTTTTATATATTTGCATGATCTTCAATCTTTCTTGCTGGAAAGTGGAAAGGAACAAATTTCTCATAAATCCAACATTTTTCTGCAAGGATGGAATCATGTACATAACTATTGTCCATGTACCATCCCACTAAATCTAATCTCAATATCAATTCCAAGTGGAGATATTTTATTCAAATACTGAATACAGATCGAAACTTTCTACGGAGAGAACTGTCATCCCACGAATTGAGAGAATATCCTATATGGCAGTATCATATTTTTCTTTATCAATCATCAGTGAATCTCATCCATTTTCTGAAAAACTAATGATGCCACAGAGGACATTCTCTCCATAGAGAACCTTGTCATGCACCAATTACCTATTTTGTCAAGGGTGTATTCTAAAGAAAGCTCACAGTTGAAAATAACAGTTTGAAAAAAGTTCAGGAATTTCGGCAATCCGGTACCTCTCAAAACCAAATTCAGTGAATAATATAGGGAGGTTCTGGTCAACCTAATATTCTAAACAATTCATTTTTTTGAGCAGAGAAAATTTGAATTACATCTCTACCTTTCAAAAGTCGAGTCTGATGAGTCAATCAACTTATGCTTAATCCTAATGCATCCTACAACCCCTTTGTCCTTGAATATAGATCATATTTTCTTAGAACTCATGCCTAACCCTAATGCATCTTACAACCCCTTTTGTCCCTAAATATAGATCCTATTTTCCTTTTTGGTTTGTTTTTAAACAAAATTCACATTAATTACTTGTTTGGGAAAAAGTAAGTCATCCATTTACTTTACCGTCCTCATTTAATCTCCCCATTGACCACCATTTTTACTCTGACACTCATAACACTAATATAAGGATAAATTAAGAAGTAAAAAAGAAAAAAAGAAAAGGTCTACTAAAAATTGTGTTAAACCAAACCAGGAACAATGTAAACAAAGGCAGCGTTTTTCAAAGTGTAGTTTAACAAAGAAGTTAGTTATTCCTACACTTTAAAAGACAAAATAAACTGTATATCATGTGCTATTAAAGTTTAATTAAAAGGAACAATATTACATAATGAACACAAATCATTTAATTCTGTTGATCACCTTTTCTTTTGAAGTTTGTCAAGGTTAACAGCCTATGCTTGAACTTTTAAGATAGTGATGGACATAGTGCCTAATCAATTTCCAATCAAGTATCAATGTCTATTGTTATTCTTTTTCCTTGTTAAGATGCAATCAGAATCATTTAGGTAAATATTGGAAACCATGGAACGGGAGAGCTTGCCCTTCCATGTAGCATATCGTAGATAATTTTTTTTACATGTCAGCAACCATATGGCTACCAAACCACAAAACGGGGAAATGGACGTAAAAGAGCCCCAAATGTAAGTAAACGGGATCAGGTTACCTAGAACACTTCACATGGTCATTTCAGCAAACACATTGTAATCATAATAAAACAAAGGAATACACAGAAATAAACAAAGAATACAAACAAAGGGATGGGAAGAAGTACAAATATAAACACACAGCAATTAAAATTCAACAAAGAAACAACACGATCAAGGAAAACACTGATAATTTAGGAATGAATGGGACTTAAATGTAAAGGAAATATTTAATTAATTAGGTGACAAAAAAGAACATAAAAAGGGATGTTAATAATTCCAAAAAAATTTCAATACAAGGTGCCAAATATTTATAGGTGGATAATCGAATCTTGAGTATCAAAATAACCGTTCCACAATCATAGTTGTGTGCCATACATTCTTGAACAGAAAAAGAAGAGAGGGAGGGCGTACACATGCTGATTGGAAAGGAAAGGAAGGTTTAAATGTATAGTACGGAGTATTAAATTAAATTATTGATTGAGAGGCCTGAAATTTACCAATGCAAAGCATATAGGTTTTGACGGCAAAGCTAACCCCGTGAGCCGCTGCCTTGCCATAACCGCTTAGAGCTTGTAACTCAATATGCCTCTAGTACAATTAGCTAATGCAAGGAGAGACAAGAACATTTTGTTGAAGTCTATTGAACTTTATTCGTTTAACCTAAAGGCCCAACACGTTTCTTTTTTATTTCTAGTTGATGTATTAGCGAGTTAAGATGTAAAGAAGCAAGGATGTATCAAATATTCAATAACAAGTGAGCCGTATTTTATTAAATTATAATAAGAGTCTGTATACAACACACTTCAACTACTAGCCTCAAGGTCGTTCGTGTATCTCAATGCTAAGAGCTTAAGATAATTGCTATTGCTAAGAATAATAAGTTGTCAACCCCTTATAAGGAAATAAATGATACGAAGTACTATTTATACTATCAAGGGGTAGGTAGTACTGGTGACGTGGAGGGTTGTGGATGGAAAGTTCCCAACCACCAAATCTACTGCATTAAATGCGCCCCCCGCCAATATCTTGTTTTCCCGCCATTGGACCTGGACGAGCGTCCTACGGTCTGAGCTCCTGGATGCAGTGGCCCAAGGGTTGGGCTTCGTGCGGCTCATGCCAGCTCTCTGGTCGAGGGCCCTAGAATGTTATCTGGCGCTCGTTGGGCAAAGGCCAATGCGGCCGATCGTCGACGGCATCCTGGTGGATCGTGGCCATGTTGGGCCTAGAATCCTAGCTACCAAGGACAAGAACTCGTATGGTTGGTGTGTACCGTAGCCGAGGATCCTGGAATATAATCTGGTCCTTGTTGGGCCTTGGACTCCTTGGACGAGCATCTGCCAAGTCCCTCTGCTGGCCCGTACCCCGTATGGACCCTGATGGTCCCTATATTTAGTGGGTAATGGGCCAACCTGCTATTGGGCATATTAACCCAACAAAGTCCATTATACCCCTAACCAAATTCATGCTTGTATACAGACCATACCAGACCAGACTTGGATAATTATAAAAATACAAAGAAACTAGACTAGACCAGACCAGACCAAACCAATTCAGACAAGACCAGACCAGATCAGACCAAGACCAGCAAATAGTAAAAACATCCTAAAACGGAGTAGATAACTATCAAGCTTCCGGTATACGTATGGGCCAAGCATATAGCAGAAAAGTCAAAATTGGCAAAGTAATCAAACAATTGAAATGTGAGCCTGGCAGCCGGCCGGAAGACCCAATAGAAAATTAGGATAATTTAACACGGAGTAGTCTATTAGACTATTCCCCTAGTCTGTACTTCGTAAACTCTAAATGCCTTCGCCGTCTAAATTTGAAATTAAAAATTACGGAAGTAAAAGGATTACGAATAGAGAGTTCAGAGTAGTCAGTAGCAATTCTGTCTGTAGTTGTCTGCAATCCAAAGTTAATCCAAGGTTTTCCACCATTCGAACTGCAAATTTAAGCATTGGCCATTAGGTAATCGGTTATAGTCCGTATATAATATTTGATTCTTTGATTTCTTTCTACAATCAGCATTTTAGTGCATTTTGGTGTAATATGAGACTCACCTTTTATAGGAAGCGATCCCAATAAGAATCATGTTTAATGTGAGAACGTGAGAACCATGCAATTTTAGTGCATTTTGGTGTAATATGAGACTCACCTTTAACACTTTTTAAACTCTTGTCAAATTCTGCCAACATCAAATAAATGTTGTGGCAAATTCGTAAACATTTCATCGGCACGAAAATGTGTAAGGTATAAACGATATTGTGCATCATATTTACTTAAAGTGGAGTTCTCACGTTCTCACATTAAGCATGTTTCTCATTTGATGCTAAATCTTTCTCTCCATATACATACATACATACATACATACATACATACATACATACATACATACATACACACACACACACACATATATTGGGAAGAGATCAAATAAAAAGAGGTTCTCCCGTGCAAAGTGCGAACGGTTGCACTTTTTCCTTACCGCGTTGCACTTTTGCATGTTTCTGTTGCACTCTTTCGCAATGGCAAAAAACTTCATTTTAATAACGAAATTGCCACCGCGTTTTTGATCAAATTTAGTTCACTTTTGGCTCATTTTGAGCCATTAGATCTGAAAATGAATGCACGAGATTAATTCTCACTTTGCATGGGAAGACCTCTTTGTATTTGAACCATCCCCTATATGTATATATGTACTTTTTACTTGCACTTTTTCGTGATTCTATTGCATTTTTTCACAGCGGCAAAAAATGTGGTTTATTTACGAAATTGCCACCGCGATTTTGATCGAATGTAGTCGATTTTTGATTCATTTTGAGCCATTAGATGTGAAAATGAATGCATAAAGTTCATTCTCACTTTGCATGGGAAAAAGCTCTTTCTATTTGAACCATCCCTTATACAGATATATATGTATGTGTGTGTGTGGGTGGGGGTGGATCAAATGAAAAGGATCTTAACATGCAAAATAGGAAATAGTCACTTTTGTAGTGCTACGTTGCACGTTTTTTGTTCAGGTAGCACACTTTTTCAGTCCACTTATTAATAAAATTGTCACCACGTGTTTTTACAATGTACATATTTTAAAATTGCTTAAAGTGCAGTAGACATGTGTAACACACACGTGATTGAAAGTGCATTTCACACTTTTTACACATTAAGATCATTTTTTATTTTAAAAGTAATTAATCTCAAAATAAATTTATTTTATATTATTTAATTATTACATTACATAATACCTGCTATTTAATTAAGGTAAGACATAATTACAATGTATGGTTTGCACTTTGCAGCTTATGTTTGTGGTGATAGAATTGGAATAATATTGGAAAGACCATTCCATCTCGGTGAAACACTTAATGAGCATACAAATTTAGACATTGATGAAGAGAAAAAGGTGATAGAGGATAAACTTATGGAGCTTCGAGCCCAAAATGCAACAGAAAAACAAGTTAGAGTAGTGATGAAAATTTTGGGCATCCAAAGGTACGCGAGAATGTGATCCAAAATTAGTCTTACTCTTTTTTTTCTTTTTTTTATTATTTTAATTTTCTTTAATTGTAGTACGAGTGAGAATAGAACTTGTAGATAGCTGGAAGAGTAGAAACTTAGTTAATTATGAGCAATATTTATGTGAAATATATATAGGGCAAAACTTCATGGATGGCCAAACACATATTCATTCACAAAAGCAATGGGAGAAATATTGTTATTAAAATGCAAGGAGAACCTATGTGTCATTATGTTACGCCCTACAATAATAACAAGTACTTACAAAGAACCTTTTCCCGGATGGATTGAAAGTGCAAGGTGAGTAACTATAAATTTGTAATATTCTTCTCCTTCAAAATATGTTTTTCTGGAAGGGAAATAATTTAGTGATTATTATTGTTTCTTTATGTTCACATTATTTTTCTTTTGCTTAGCTTTCTTATAACAATGACAGAACCATGGACATCTTTGTATTGATGTATGGCAAGGGAAAATCAAATTTTATGATCGGTGATCCGAACACAATACTCGATGCGGTATGTATGTAGCACATTTAATATTAAAGGCCTTTAGATTTTGAATTCCTTCATAAATGCATATGCCATTGTGAAAGATGTATCCCAATGTTTTTTCGAACATCAAGTAGTTATTAAAAGCAGAAAGTTAATATGAGAATTATATTGAGTGTCATTTCTTGAAGTTGAGTGTAATTAGGAGTTGACTAAATGTGAAATTACCTGAGGAAAGGATTGCGCAAATGCCATGGTGAACAAATTAAATGACAAATATAATTATGCTTCACTTTTAAGTGATTTCTGCACTTTATCTGAAACTGAGCCAATAAAGCAGTTTTGGAAAATCATTGTAAACCAACCATTCCAGCTCACTGGGTGGAAGGTTACTGTGTCCTAGCAGAGGTCTCGGGTTCGAATCCCGCTAGGCACATTTAGGGGAGAGGAGGGAGGTCTTGCTCCCAATGATTCTTCTTACCTTCACGGAGTTACTCAGCGGCTGAGAAGGGAGAGGATGGTAATGAAGGTAGCGGATTCGTGTGGTGGGAGGAGCAGCCTGAAAGGTGATGTAAGTCCTGCTGGATTCGTCCTTTGGAGCCAGTACTGACGAGGCTGACTGTTATCAGATCCGGACTTAACTGTCTAGGGGCTTTGGAGGGTAGTTCATAGACTCCAGGATTATGGGAGCGTAAGCCCCGACATATGGATTATCAAAAAAAATGGAAAATCATTGTATGTATTTGTGACATTTTTCAAGTGTGGGTCACACATCAGCTAAATACACCGTATGAGATACTACCAAAAACTATTCATTTATTTTATTACCAAACATTTAAGTTGGATATCGATTATGATTTGTTCATTTGTTGGCACACATTGTTTAACATATCTCATGTAGGTCTATATTGAGAGGATTTATCTGGTCAGGAACGCCGGGCCATAAGTCCCGTCTGGCCAAGACATTTTGAGAGGTTTTCAGGTCGAATTTTTTCATAAAATTTCGTGAGCCTGTTAATTCAAAAATTAATTTCATAAAGCCATTGTTTTGCAATAATTTATTTAACATCAAATCTAAAAAATCTTACTACCTCCGTCCCGCTATGATTGTCCCATTCTACCTTATCGATCCGTCTCACTAAGATTGTCCCTTACCAAATTTGGTAAAGTTTGTGTGACTCTAAATCATTCTTACTTTATTCTTACTTTATCAATTCAATATCAACCACATAAACCACTTTTTATTAATTTGCGTGACACTCTCTCTTGCCCTATTGTTAGCGGGACGGAGGAAGTAGCTTAGAATGGGTTGACTATTCCACCAGACAAAACACTAGTCATTCTATAATACTCGTATATTTTTTCTTTTCTTCTTCTCTAAATTCGTATAAAGACTAGGACTAGCTATATTCTACGGTCTATACTAATATCACAAATAACATTCTATTCAACAAATGGTATATGCATGTAATATATGCAGATTCCAGGAGATATGGTGGTGAATTCGATACTTGCAGCGATTGTACATCATGGAAGTAACCTCCATCATACATATAGTGACCAGGAGTTGATATATCATGTTGGGTCATCTACTACCAATCCCTTGACAATGTCGGACCTTGGAAATTGTTTATATCGTTATTTTACGGACTATCCCTGGTCAACCAAGAGTGGTGATCTTGTTCGAGTACGCAAACCTATGTTGCTTACTAGTTTGAACAAGTTGCACAGATACATTTCCCTTCATTATCTCCCAATGTTGAAGGTACTTTCATAGTACGTAGTATTATCATACAAAAATTGCTGCCCTAAATAGGAGTAAAACCCATTTGAAATTCCAAAATACGACTACCATGTTTTGTATTCTTTGAATATGAGTTATCTGCCAAGTTTGAAAAAACATGCCATGTTTAAAGCCTATTAATGCCAAACTTGGCAGAAATTTACTCCTATTCAGGGAATAAAAAACATGATAGTCCTATTTTGGAATTTCAAAACATTTTTTCTCCTATTTAGGGAATTCTCTCATTATCATATCGATCATTAATGGCCTTCGGTTGTTGTTAGCCATAAACTTGAATTGGGTGTAATTAGCATCTCACATTTATCTCCTAATTTAGATTTAATTTCTTGGTTTATCATTGGATCACTCCAGGTATTAAAGTTGTTGAACATGATACTTTTTCATTATTTTGACGAAAAATGCGCGACTGTAGAGAAAAACATTAGCTTTGTGATGCGACTTGCTGAACTCTACAAACCATATTTATTCTTTTATGGAAGGTACGTATATTTAAAATATTACGGAGTATTATTTAAAATACCATGATAAGTCTACACATACATTTTTCTTTCTAGCTACATGCATATGCCTATCCATTTGTTTCATATAATTTTTATATTATAAATAATTTACAACAAAAAGTATAGTCGATCAAAATTTTGAAAATGTGAAAGTTTTTTGGGATGGCGGTAGTGTGATAAAACAGAATTGCTACTAAAGATGTTTTCTTTTGACTGACTTCATTCCTAGATCACATCAGACTTCCGTAGTTATAAAATACACAAAGACTATACATTTACCAAAACAGACCAGACCAGTTTAGAGCAAACCAGATCAGACAAGACCAACAAATTTCAGTTCAAAAGAAAACATCAAAAATAGATTGTCAATGAATTGTGAATTCTATATTACTTTCACGGGTGTTTTCAAGGTAAAGTACTATTAAAAAAGTACTTCAAAAATAGATTGTTAAGTGTCAACCAAATTTTTAAGATTCTCTTAGTTCAGAGAATTTGAATGGTAGGATTTTATTTGTTTTCATAAGTTTTTTCTCAATATGTTAGTGGGCGCTTATAATATAAGTACTCCATCTGCCAAGAAAATCACCTTTAGACTTTAGTTTGGTATGCTTGTACTCTTATCAAACTTAGAGAAGTAGGCAAGTAGCCCATATAGAGAAGTAGGATATCTAAAAATCCACCAACTATTCTTACAAATCAAATTAGACATAGTTTTTTCCTTTTTTCGTTGTTAATTTTGGAGAAAGGAGTTCCTGCCTTGGAAATTAGACTGAGTATTATTACAATTGCATTTAAACCTGGTGCAAATAACATTGTGCCGAGCAATTGTACTGATTATGCATGAGATGTACTAATACTGAAATAATCATTCCATGAATTATAAATTAAACTTGTATTCAGTTTATATCTGTGTTAGTCTGTTAGAAAACATTGCACAAGTAAACTCATTAGGATTAACTAATTACTGGGTTAAACAAATAATCGTAATTGATTTATCTTATTTTAAAAAATAACTGCTACTATGTCCCTATTTCCACAATGCCTGCTAATTGACTTTGGTCTAAACGGAATTATAAGTATACATATTCTAGTAAGAGAATTTCTAGAGCATTTAGAAATAATTACATGTCAAATTTCCAATGCGGGCGAAAAATTAAACAAGAGGTAGATTACATTACAACAACAACAACATTCAAGCTTTAATCTCAAAAGATTTTGGGGTCGGCTAACATAAATCGATCCATGATATCGATGCCAAAAGTGAAGACAGACAAGAAAAAAAACGAATACGATAAAGATACATAATTATATTTAAAGATAAAGAAGATAAACGATAAAAGAGAAGAGAAAAAAAAGAGGTAGATTAAAAATGTTTTTATGTATTTGTTGTCTGATGTAAAGAAAATACGTTCAAGGATATTAATTACGTTTAGTCTGAAAAAGAGACTAATGCAAACTTAGAAAATCAACGACCTGATATTATGCAATAAACAAAGCCTCACATCTCATAACACATAGGAAGATATGATCACAGTTTTGTAGATTCATAAATTCTAGAAATAGTTAAACAAAGATTAATTCCTCTCAATAGTAAGTAAATATATGTTGTACATCAAGAAATGATATTGATAAGACATTGTTATGAAAAACAACTTACCATATAGCCTAGAATGTGCACGGTCCTCCAATGGCCTCAGATGCCGGCCTTTCCCCTCAAGAAGCATATTATAGACAAAATCTGCCCTAGGTAATAAAATTAACCCTGCAATTTATTAGCAAGCAGGATAGATATTTCATAAACTAATTTAAAAAACTCATAACAATCTCACATATAATAATTATTTATAAAGAAAAACATTACTTTAAATTGGGCACGAGCTCTCGCGCCTTGCGCGAGTATCCGCTAGTTGTTTCAATAAGAATAAGAGATATTCTCTTCTCTTGAGATTGATATGTTTTAACTTGCATGTGACATAGAAATAAAAGTTATGTCATTGGGGTTTAAGTAGGGAGAGTGAAATAAGAAGAATCACTAATGGATTACTTTAAACATAAACTTTTGAAACATTTGAAAAGAAAAATTGACAAAGTCTAATAGGATGAGCTAGCATGCATTTTTTAAATAATATCTCAAAAAATGAATTTCTTTTATGCAATTAATATCTTCTTTCCAATCCTTCAAAAAACATCTTTCTTTCTAAAATTCCTTACGATGCATTACTCTACATGCTCAGTTTAAGATCAACAAATTATTTATTCCTTTAAAATGTGTGGTTGGTTCTTGAGATGCAATTATTTATTTCTAAAATTCCTAGTATACACTACTTTAGATGCTGAATTTAACATCAACAAACTGTTTGGTCGGTCTTGGAGACTCCTAGGATAGTGTCGATTCATTTTTAATTTTTCTGTATAGCTCCTTTTCACATTCATGTAAATATGTTACGGAGTATAATACTAATATTCTATGTTGCAGTTTTGATGATACCAACACAAAAAGATTGAGAATGGCTACAACACAAACTAGCATGACAGATATTGTAAAGTTCGACCCCACTTGTATCCAATGGGAAGACTATTTCATCACTACGCACATTCCGGGAGTTGTAAAATATGCATTCTAATTATGAAACGATTTGTCCAAAATATGTAATTTGTGTTTGAACAAATTTACATTCAAAATTATATAAAGTTATAAGAATTTAAATTTTGATCGCATAGCTTTCGATAATTCGATTGCGCCCTCCTGTAACTTTACTCACATGAAAAGTAAACAAAACAATGATTTTTTACAACTAAAGTGATTATTTCCTTTAACTTCGTATCACTCCAACAATATAGACCATTTTCAGTACTGGTAATGCGTTATGTGGATGCTACTTTAGGTTTGATTGTTCTCTTATGTAACTTATTTATGATGTCTTTTTGTTATTTTTCTATTGGTTCAGGCCTAGTCCCCATTAGTGTTTTATTTTCTGTACCTGGTGATTTATATGATGTATTTGGAAAAGGTATGCCTTCTCTGGAGAAGTTTTGGCATGATCCCCCTCTTATTTTGTTTTGTTTTTCATTTGTATTAAAACCCGGTAAATGTTCCCCGACATTTACCCCACCGACTTAGGTGGTTTACCTTCCGGGTTAAAATAAAAATGTAACACTTTTTTAAAACTAGCAACACTTTTATGGAGAAATAAGCCACACTATTGCTATGATTGTAACATGTATATTGTGATTTACCCTTCATGTTTGAAGATAATATATAAATTCTTTTGGATGATTTCGAGTTACAATTCTCCTTATACAACACATATCTAATACAATTTTACTACGTAGTGATATAAAAATAATTATGAGAAATCTCAATTTCAATCCATCAAATATTTGAGGGATTGAAATCAGTAGTGCGTGCTTTTGAGTTTGTAAATATCACTTCTCAATTGTTCGAGTTGTTCTAAATGTAGTTCTCAGTGTCGAATTTGAATTATTTTTTGAAAGAATGAAATTTGAATTAACACTACTGATTTTATAAATTTGAATTAACTTTACCAACTACCAAGAGTGCATTTATTGTGGGCAAAAAAGTGAGCTTGAATTGGGCAGATGGAAGAAGACGGAAAAAATTCTGCTCATGAAATCTAATAAGTTACCATTTAAATATCTGGGAACCTTCATCCATCAATGTATCACTCGTGCTAATTGTTGGTGATTTTAGTGTCACCGTACCGGTCGTTTTGTGTAATTGGAAATGACATGAGTGCCAATGAGGATTAGAACCGTGTTCTAATACAAGCTAGGAGGTGTGGAGTGCACACTTGTATATAAGAACGAGTTCTATTCCAAAGTGTCTATGGCAGTGGAACTCGAGGTTGAACACTCAGTAGACCAACTCTGTAGTTCTAGACCGAGGTCTAGAGCGGTTGGACAGTTTCGTGCAGTTTTCCAAAAACTGTCACAGTTATTCCAGAACGTGTTGCAACTGCCCAGGACTTGTAATATTGTTATATATCACCATATTTCATACAGAGAAGGATGAGGAAAGATATCCAACATATCTTCATCATTTTTGGCATTCAACTTAAGATATCAATCCATATACTCACTAGTTTGGCTCTAGTTCTTGTGCCTAAGTCTTAGAGTGTCCTTAAGGATTATCCTAGATTGAATTTCTTGTAACCCAGGCATAGGGGAGAAATATCAATTCGCAAAGTGAACTTACACGATCCTTAAGCAATCCAAGTACTCGATTATCACCCCCTACGAGATATACCCCTACAATCGAATTGATATTTTCTTTGTGATAATCATGAGTACTGTGGAAGAGATGATATCCAAGTTCAACAAATTGGACAAGTTTACAGGGAAAGATTTCCGTAGATGGAAAAAGAAGATGCACTTCCTCCTCACCACTTTGAAGGTTGTGTACGTGTTGAGTACTCCGATGCCGGAAGTGATGGAGGACGAAACCTTGGAACACACTAGGAGGCGTAACAAGTGGGAGAACGATGACTACATATGTAGAGGCCACATTCTTAACGGTATGTCCGATGCGTTATTTGATATTTACCAAAACGTTGAGAGTGCGAAGGAATTGTGGAATTCTCTTGAGTCAAAATACATCGCCGAGGATGCTTCTAGTAAGAAGTTCTTGGTGAGTGATTTTCATAATTATAAAATGGTTGACTCAAGGCCGGTTATGGAACAATACAATGAACTCCTTCGTGTTCTTGGTCAATTTAAACTCCACAAGATAGGTGTTGATGAGCCCTATGTCGTGTCGAGTATAATTGACAAACTTCCACCCTCTTGGAAGGATTTTAAACGTTCTTTAAAACATCAAGATGAGGAATTGTCATTGGTTCAACTTGGGAGTCACTTGCACATTGAGGAGTCTCTTCGTGCGCAAGAGAATGACCAAATTATGGGCGAAGTTGAATCTAGACTGGCTCATGTTCACTTGGTTGAGGATAATAAATCTAACCCGAAAGATAAGGGGAAAAGCAAAAAGCGCAAGTATGAAGACCATGACAAACCCAACAAGAAACCGAAAGGTTTGGTTTGTTGGAGGTCTCAAAAGGTTGGACATGTCAAACGTGATTGCCGTGTGAAACTGAACAAGAATGGCGCTGAAACGAGTGGCAGTGGACAAGAACGGTCTAAGGACCTGGTTCCACGGAAAGGACATCAGTTCCTGACTAACTTTGATAATTCTGTCCAGAATTATGTATCACTCATTCCAAAATCTTTTTATGTACAGGATGATGACCGAGCATGGTGGATTGACTCGGGGGCTACGAGCCATGTGTGTAAGGATAAAGGATGGTTTGAAGACCTAGAACCAGTGGAGGTCGGTTCCTTCTTACGCATGGGAGACGAGTCAATGGTGCCTATCTTAAGAAAGGGTGTAGTTGTTTTAGAATTTACTTCTGGAAAAATAATTATGTTGTTTGATGTTTTGTATGTACCAAAGGTTCGAAAGAATCTTGTTTCGGGAAGTATGTTGAATAATTTGGGGTTCAAACAAGTGATTGAATCCGATAAATATATTTTGTCCAAGGGTGGTGTGTTTGTTGGTTTTGGATATTTATCAAATCGCATGTTTCGTTTGAATGTTGTGAATAAATTAATTTCTAGTGATAATTCTATTTTTGTGGCATCTTCCATGAATGATTGTATGATTTGGCATGCTAGATTAGCTCACGTTAATTTTAGAAAAATGAATGAAATGTCTAAAGATGGTGTAATTCCGGTTTTTGATATTAATGATGATAAGTGTAGGACTTGCATGCTTACTAAGATCACAAAACAACCGTTTCCTAATTTTGATAGGAATTAGGCTATTTTGGATCTTGTACATAGTGATCTATGTGACTTTCACTCAACTCCTTCCCTTGGCAATAAAAAGTATGTTGTTACCTTTATTGAGGATTCAACTCGGTTTTGTTATGTGTATTTATTACACCCTAAGGATGAAACTTTAAAGAAATTTAAAGTGTATAAAACCGAGGTTGAATTGCAATTGGGTAATCCGATTAAATGTCTTAGGACTGATCGGGGAGGAGAATATATGGATCCCCATTATTTTCAATCTGTTGGAATCATTCATGAGACCACCTGTATACACCACAACAAAATGGTGTGGCCGAATGAAAAAATCGAGTGTTAAAGGAAATGGTTAATTCCATGCTTTCCTACTTGGGTTTGAGTGAAGGGTTTTGGGGAGAGGCCATGCTCACGGCCTGCTATGTTCTAAATAGGGTTCCAAATAAAAGGAACAAGATAACCCCATATGAGCTTTGGTATAAGAAAGCGTCGAATTTGAAATATTTTCGGGTTTGGGGTTGTAGGGCGGTTGTAAAATTGCACGAGCCCAAAAGGAAAACTTTGGGGGGAAAGGGGAATTGATTGCATATTCATAGGGTATGCTGAACATTCCAAGGCTTATAGGTTTTATGTAATAGAACCTAATGATGCGGTAGCGGTTAACACCGTGATTGAGTCTCGGGATGTGATCTTTGATGAGATGAGATTTTCATCAATTCAAAGACCAAAGGAACTAGTTCCAAGAACTAGTGAGGTGCAAGTTCCAGAATGTTGAGATGGTGCTTTGCATCCCGAAGCACCACAAATAAGGAAAAGCAAACGAGGCCGCATCGTGAAAGACTTTGGTCCCGATTTTCACTTGTATTTAGTGGAAGGTTCAAGGGATGAAGTGGGGGTACAATATTCATATTATTACCAAGTTGAGGATGATCCCAAGTCCTTTAAAGGGGTAATGGAGTCCTGAGATGTTTCTTTTTGGAAGGAGGCAATTGATGATGAAATGTCATCAATTATGGAGAACAACACTTGGGTGTTGTCGGATTTCCCACAGGGTTCTAAACCCTTAGGTTGCAAATGGATCTTCAAAAAGAAGATGAAAGTGGATGGAACTGTTGAAAGGTTTAAGGCTCGGTTGGTCATTCAAGGTTTTAGACAAAACCCCAGAATTGACTATTCTGATACGTATGCGCCGGTTGCTCGAATTACAACCATTAGGTTGTTAATTGCTTTGTCAGCTATACACAATCTGACTATACATCAGATGGATGTCAAGACAGCATTTTTAAATGGTGATCTTGATGACGAAGTTTACATGAAACAACCGGAAGGTTTTGTTATGCCAGGAAATGAGCATAAGGTTTGTAAACTTGTCAAATCATTGTATGGGTTGAAACAAGCACCTAAACAATGGCATCAAAAGTTTGATGAAGTTATTTTATCCAATGGTTTTAGTATAAACCAATCGGATAAGTGTGTCTATAGCCGATTTGATGCTTTAAGGGCGGGTGTGATCATATGTCTCTATGTTGATGACATGCTGATTTTTGAAACTGACCAAAATCAGGTTGATGAAACTAAAAGGTTGTTATCATCAAGGTTTTCCATGAAGGACATGGGGGAGGCGGATGTGATCCTTGGTATAAGGATTAAACGGGTAAACAAAGGGATTGCTTTGACACAAGCTCACTATGTTGAGAATATTCTCAAAAGGTTTAATTATAGTGATTGTTCACCCGTTGGTACTCCCATGGATCCTAGTGTGAAGTTGATGCCTAATAACGGAAAGGCGGTTTCACAACTTGAGTACTCTCAAGCTATTGGTAGTTTGATGTATGCCATGACAAGAACTAGGCCGGATATTGCTTATGTCGTGGGTAGGTTGAGCCGT